CTGGCTCCTGGCTTCAGATCAGCGCAGCTCCGATCATTGAGGCCAGTTGGGGAGTGAACCAATGGATGGAAGACATCTCCCTCTCTGCCTTTCCTTCTCTCTGTATAACTCTGCCTTTCAAATAAATAAATAAATCTTTAAAAAAAATAAGGAGCCGCAAAATAACTGAGCCTTGGCAGAGGGACCATGTACAAGTAGGTATGTAACAAAGAAGGCTGACAATGACATTCATTTTTCCAGCTGGTTTTGACTATGGCACAAGGCATCGTTCATCACGTTCACATTGTCTGATTTAGGAATACACCTTGGGCTTCTTTTTCTTCATTCCTGGCCATCTTTGCAGCTGATCATAGTTGCAAAGTTTGGCTGTCCCATACCAAAGGTGGGAATATTGTGGCTGCAAAGAAGAAAAAAAGCTGCTGGAGTTGAACAGCTCTAGGCTTCAATTTGTAATGAAAATTGGAATGCATGTACTGGAATACAAGCAGACTTTGTTGTTGATCAGACAAGAAAAAGCAAAACTTGTCACCTTGTCAACAACTTCCCAGCTTTGAGGAAATCCAAAATAGAGTATTATGTCATGTTGGCTAAATCTCGTGTCCATCACTACAGTAGCAATAATAGTAAATTGGGCACAGTGTGTGGAAAACACAAGAACATGCACACTGGCTATTATTGATTCAGGTAATTCTGATATCATTAAAAGGATTCCACAACAGACTGGTGAAAAATAAATCTTGTAGTCTCCCAGTCCAGACCTGCGTGGGCCGTGCAGTGTGGCAGGGAAGTGAGCGGCTGCCGTCCCTGAGGTCGCCGGGTTGGTTGCCTGTTTTGAGGCTGCTACTGGGTGGGGCAGTTAGGCAGCCTCCCGCCTGCAAGAATAAAAAAAAAATCATGTAATCTTTTTTTTTTTTTTTTTTTTTGGTAAAACTTGCAACATCTTGTTTCCTTAAAAAAGGAAAAAGAAAACAAGCACAGTTTTGGCGAAATGTTTCCCATATGTCTCAGGTCTATTTTTCTCTGGATGGAAAATAACAATGACCCTCAGCTTCCCAAGATTTCAAGTAGTTTAAGATTTTAAGTAATTCAAGCACAGAATCAGTGGGAAGAGTATGAATGGATGGCAATGTGCTGGATAAAGACCAGACACTTTAGTTTCTATTCCAAAAAGGAAGTGTGAAATTGATCTTGAGAGAGTGAACTGCAGGTTCTGTGGCGCCACCTTCTGAATGAAGTTGTGTCGATAGAAAGTGAGAGCGACCCGAGGTTACACTGAGACCACAGTTTAGAGGTCAGCTGGAGAACATCTCAGAAGAGAGCTCACTGACCTTCAGCACTGTTCTTCCCTCCCGCGTTGTCAAATGTCTTCCCCTGAATTTCCATGAGCGAATCCACACGCAGAATGGAAGTGACTTTACAGAAGCCACAAAGAGCAGAGACCTTCTGGAACTGCAGGGCCAGGCCCATGGCAGCCTGCACACTTTCCAGACTGTGGCCAGTCCTCTTAGATGCTGGGTGCCGACCAATTTCTGCCTCCATGGAAGGAGCCAGAGTTGCCAGAAGAGGATATGTCTCACGGGGACTTATCTTTGCAATGGGTTTTGTGCTCTTCTAACTTTCTTACTAATGCCAAATACTGAAAAACCATGTGAAATCTTGGGCACCAAAAGTTTGAAACTGATTTGGGGTTCTACGCAGATTTCAGTGAACACTAGTACTAACAGATCATGAAATACACACCGTATACCTCATTGATGTGGATTGTCACTAACCAATATCATAGTAGTTTGAAAAACTGATGAATTTATAAAGAAGATAATATCAGTCCAAACAATTTCAGGAAATAGTCCATAGATTAAGTAAAATAACTGAGTTCCACATGAGTTGAGCATAGAACCTTGAGGAGAAAATAATGGGAATAATATACACTGATGGAAAACAACAAGATCCCAACAAGAAAATTCATTTCCAAGTCTACACTATTTTCCATTTACCAATATTTACAAGACATGGCCAATATACAAATTAAACAAATTCACATGAATGAAATAGCATATTATTATATTGTAGACTCAATCAAGAAATAGGATTCCTGGATGTTTGTTTTCCTTCAGGGACATAAGGCAAGCTTTGGTCACCCCACCATTATTTTCATTATTTGGCACACACAATTAACACCAAATATTTTATGGAAAATGTGCGAAAAAAGCATTAGTACTACATGCGGTTCATGATGGCATTGCATTGAATTTGTAGCTCAATGGAGAGAAGCACCAACAGCACTTCAAAAATTAGTCTGCCTAGGCCCAGTGTTGTGGTGTGGTGGGTAAAGCTACCACCTGCAATGCTGGCATCCCATGTTGGTGCTGGTTTGCATTCTGGCTGCTCCACTTCCTATCCATCTCCCTGACAATTGCCTGGGAAAAAACAGTGGAAGACAACCCAATTGTTTGTGCATCCGACACACATGTTATAGACACGGATGAAGCTCCTGGCTCCTAACTTTGTGTGGTTCAGTCCTGGCCCTTGAGGTCATCTTGGGGAGCAAACCAGCAGATGGAAGATCTCTGTGTCTCCTTCTTTCTGTGTCACTCTGACTCTCAAATAAATATATAAATCTTTAAACAAAAATCAGGCTGCCTTTTCTAGAAAAATGACATTTTAAATATTGTTCCAGTATCCAAAGAAACAGCTAATAAAATTTCATGTGTTTTCACCATTATTATTGTTAATCATGTGAAGAGATTTTATAAGGTGTGTGACCAACAACAATGGGGTATTTTGTGTCCACTATGATACATAGTTATTGGAAGCATATATATGTTTTTTTCTGTAGTTAACCTATATCAACCAACCTTCCCAGGCTTATTTCCTAGGTCACTGCCTTGGTTTTGTGAGGAAGACAATCCTTTGGGGAGGGAAAGACAATTTGCTCCTTCTTTTTATTAATATAAAATACACTGACCTCCTCTTCCTCTTTTGGTTGGTGTTACACTGACCCCAGGTGTCAAGTTGGCAGAAGGACACCTGCAAGACTCAGCCTTCTCACAATCAAGACAAGCTGTGTGATCTGGGTCCTGCGCAGTGATATACTCCTCAATCTCTTCAGGTGTAACCTGAGACAGACTGAGGCAGCCAGTGTGGGGATGGCCATATCACCCCATAGTAGTCCTTTACTTCCTCAGAACAGTACTACATTAAATACATGGTTCTGTCCAGACCAGAAGCCCTCTGATAGCCCATAATACTCCATGCATGTTCCCCTTCTAGACAACACCCACATAGGACACTTTTGAATGCTGAGAGTGCAGATGCTGTAAAGCAGACACTGGGAAGGTAACCCAGCGTGAGGAGGATGATAGCCCTTAGCCACAGTGTCTGCAATTCAATATGTCATGCACTTGAATGTGCACTGTTATATCTGACCTAGGCTGTGCCCAGGGATTGAGGAAGTGAGTGCAGACTCTACCTGGGCCTAACTTCCTGATTGCAACTAGAGGTCGCAATTGTTGGTCTCTGTCCAGTGGCCCCAAGGGAGCGTCACAGGTGCCGTTCACCACTCACACAGAAGGATAATGGAGCACTGGGCGTGAGCCAGGCAGAGCCTCTGAGACCAAGATAACTGAGATTGCTCTACAGTGAATACATGTGCAGGTGGTGCACAGGATAGCCCATGTCTGCTCCCTCTCATGCCCTTTCCCCTAACTCTATCCAGGTCTGATCTGTGTGATATCACAGTAGAGGCTGGCGCAGAGGTGTTTGGGTCATTCCCGTGAGTGTGTTTCCAAGGTTCTGAGAACCATTGTGACTCACGACTACTGCTATGTTGCCCTAGCCATCATGTTCTGGGACTCAGAGGAAGAAAGCAAGACACAGACAGGTCTGTTGACCTCTGACACCCTGCTCTGTCCTCAAGATTGTTACTCCAAAGAAACCTGTGTGGTCTGAGCAGTAAAACAACTTCACAGAACCGGGTTACACAGCATCTTTTTGTGCCATTGCCAAACCAATGTACCTAAAGAAGGCCGCCATTGTTTGATAATGGGGAGAAGGTGGGGCAGTCATTTGTTCACACTCTTGCAGAGACACTCTGCATACACATGGATAAGAGCATGGGTTTACATACCAGCGCTCTCAGTTCCAGTCCCAGCTCTGGGAAACCTCGGGCAAGTCCTGCAATTTCTTTTATGAACCTGAAATACAGAACACAATGGGTACCTACTCCTGGCCTTGGCACTGTGTCAGGTTCAAATAAAATAGTGCCCCAGGTCTTTGCAAATGTGTGTAGGCCAGACATCAGAGAGGCAGACATCCTGGGCACCACTGAGATGATGGGTTTAAGAGGAAACCCAGTAGCATGGGTACTGGACACAGGCAGCAGGGAGCAAGTGATACATCTTAGAGGTGAGAGTATGAGTTTGTTTTTTTCTAGGACTGGGACTGGCAGACGAGTGCAGGCAGAGGTGAAGCTGTATCTAGAACTGTGATTGTCCCAATCTTCCTCTCTTGGTGTTCAGTTATGAAGGGGAGGGGCAGAGCTGGCAATGATGTGGTTCCTGCCCTGTCCTGATGCATGCTGGTCCTCAGTGCCCTTGACCTACCTCTTTTACACCTTATAGACATCTGTTGGCTCTGAATTCATGGCATCACATAACTTTCATCTGAAATGTCTGTACTGCATTCTCTTTAACTGTGTTCTTGACAGAAGCATGGAGTAAGACAGGCAAGGCCCTGCCTCTGCCACTCTTGAAATACATAGGGATTTGACAAAGGGGACAAGCAGTTGCCTTCCAGCATGAGGTAATAATTATGATATGATTTTTCAATTGTTTACTCAGTTATTCAAGAAAAATTGATAAGTACTCCACATTTAGCTTTTGAAACACGAGTCAAAAAGGTGTCAAGGCAACAGAATAGAGATTCTGGATTTAGATTTGTGTAGAAGACAGAATGAGAGAAATGACAACATAGACATTGCAAATCAGAAGACACCAGAGGCGCTCGGAGCATCTGCCGGGACGACTATGCTGCTGCCGAACATTCTGCTCACCGGTACTCCAGGGGTTGGGAAAACCACACTAGGCAAAGAACTTGCATCAAGATCAGGACTGAAATACGTTAATGTGGGTGATTTAGCTCGAGAAGGTGAATTATATGATGGCTTTGATGAAGAGTATAACTGTCCCATTTTAGATGAAGATAGAGTAATAGATGAGTTAGATAACCAAATGAGAGATGGTGGAGTTATTGTTGATTACCATGGCTGTGATTTCTTCCCTGAACGTTGGTTTCATATAGTTTTTGTGCTGAGAACAGATACCAGTGTGTTGTACAAAAGACTGGAAACAAGGGGTTATAGTGAGAAGAAACTAAATGACAATATTCAGTGTGAAATTTTTCAAGTTCTTTATGAAGAAGCAATGGAGTCATACAAGGAAGAGATTGTGCATCAGTTGCCCAGCAATAAACCAGAAGAACTAGAGGAGAATATAAGTCAGATCTTGAAATGGATTGAACAGTGGATCAAGGACCATAACTCTTAACTCACAGAACTGGCCCTTTCAGTCACTGTTGCTGCCCTCTCTCTGCTCACTTGTAGAAATTGCCCGTGTAGCAGTAAAAATTATGCTGTAGGACGAGTAGGTGGATGATGTGAAGGTTTATGCCTGGATTTCTTTTTCTTCATGAGAAAACTGAACAGTCGCAAATATCATGAATATAATATTAAGGATTGAGGTTGAAAATTGTCATTGTTTAATGCTTTGATTGCCAAATAATAAGCAAATCTAAATAAATGGGTGGATAACTTTTAAGTTTATAACAGAAAAAATGCAGATAATCTCTTAAAACTAAAGATAAAGCATTGGAGTATTGCTTTTTTATTTATATAAATGTAACAAGTTTCATGTATTTCATAAATACAGCATTAGGAACAAAATGATACTTCCCAACTTCCCTCACTTCCACACTCCCTCCTCCTTCCTTTTCTTTTGATTATTGCAATGACATACTTTATTTTACTTTATAATCACAGCTTTAATCCACAAATAAGGGATTCAGCAATCAGTAGAAAAACCACTGTTCCTCAGGAATATGGACAAGGGCTAAAATAATAATACAATTTCAGAATGTCAATTTCACCAACATAAATCACATATTTTTTTTACTCTTTATATAGTTAGCACAAGTCAGGGAAAACATGATATTTGTCTCAATTTCTTTATCCAGTCATCAGTTGATGGACATCTGAGTTGATCACATATTTTAGCTATTGTGAATTGAACTGCTATAGACATGGGAGTACAGGTAACACTTTCATATGCTGATTTCATTTCCTTTGAATAAATTCCTGGGACTGGAAAAAAAAATCAGAAGACACCCAAAAGCAGTATCTTATGAGCAGTGCTGTTAGCAAGAGCATGTGCATGTGAGTGCATCTCTGTGCGTGGTAAGGAGGTGACAATTAGCATGCAGCTCTCAGGTCCACATGATTATATGCATTTCCTCATGTCTTTCAGGCTTCTATAGTTGTGCTGACTTGTGTGGGCATGGGTGGTGTTGAGTGGTCATGCATAAAAGACAATTGGAGGCATATCCCAGTGAGTCCCCAGTGACTGAGACCCAGAAGGGGTCAAACCAACCCTTAAAATGTCAGCAGACCTCCAACAATATCCTCAGTTATTTATTCAGCAGACATCTGGGAATACCCAGAAATGATGTGGCTCTGTGCCAGTGAGTGTGGATGCTGACGTGAGCAACCCCAGGGTGAAGTCAGCCTTGGAACAATGCATGCTTCTCTGTCTCCCTGGAATGGTGAAAAATGTAAAGAAAATATTTAAACAATAGAGTCCTCCCATGTTCCATGTGATGTGTGTTTGCTGACTGCCTCACTGGGGTCTACATGACAAGGAGTTCCTTCCACCCTTATGTTCTGTGCAAGAGTTCTCAGAACATGGGGGAGAGGGAGAACACACTGCCCATCAGGGCTCTTTCACCATTTTTCTGATGAAGAGCACAGAGGCACAATTCTCTAGGCTTGGGCATGCAGGGACCCAAAGCAACCACCCTAGCTATTTGGATGGACATTCCCTGGATCCTCTCTCCAACCTTAATGCTTGTCCTGGGGGACAGACACTCCTGAAGAGCAGACCAAGAGCTCGGGTGGAGTGGAGTTTGGCACATCATTTATGATCAGAGATGATATGCCCATATGTCATTTCCACAGAGGAAATGGCTGTGCTGATTGTTCCCACAGAAGTGGTGCCACAAGGTCAGGGAACTTGTGCAATGAGAAACAAGCCTATTGGGGCTGCAGCTAATGGAGAGAATTCCCATGATCACCTTGAAGGCAGGACGCAGGTCAGCATGAGTGGTGAGAGGGTGCCCAGTCTACAGGCTCCATCCAATAGGAAGGTGCTGAGCAGGACAGACACTACTCTGAGGTGTGTGCAGTGGGAATCGTGCAGACAGTTGGGCACTGAGGAGGAAGAGCTGGACCTGAAGTGAAGGCTGAGGATGCCAGGAGAAGAGCAGGACACAGAGAAGTCGCATCTGGAGTTAGGTAGAATTGCTACCCTGACCACAATACCATACCTGACGCCCTGCACTGCTGTGACAGTCACAATAACACTCAAGCCTCCCTGTTCCCTCCCTGTCCTCCCCTGTTTTGTTTCCTCACACCTGAGATACAGCAGCTTAGGGGAGCATCAATTTCTCTTATGCTTTTGCACACAAATCCAGAATCTGTTTGTTCTCACAAAGCAGATCCATCTGCCATGCACTTGGAACATTTTGCCCAAGAACATGTCAACTCCTAGGCTCTTTGCTGTAATTTGGAAGACAGTATCCTTCATCAACTCACCCTCACTGGGGTGCCACACTGGACACCCTCATTGAAGAAAGACCCCCCCCCAGGAACAGAAAATAGAGGGCTGTGTTAGCAACATGTTTCCCGCAGGTGAGAAAGAAAGGGTATGAACCTGCAAGGAGCTACCTGTCAGAGATTCTGGGGCTACAGTGTTCTGAGCTGGAGCTTCCCCAGGGGATGCAGGTATGCTGAGGTCAGACATGCCTTAGCTCAGTGAGTGACATCAGCTCTGAGAAAGGAAATAAGACACTGACTTTGAGCAGACAAATGGACATGATTAAATAATGCAAAGGGAAATCGTTCAATTGAAAAGTACACAAAGTGAAATTAGTAATTCTATAGAAGGCATCAATGGTAGAATAGATCAGACAGAAGAAGCAATTAGTGAGCCTATTTGAAAACACATATTTGGGATTGAGCTTTCATATAAACTGCTAAGCTGCTGGTTGGGTGGTCCATCCCATACCAGAGTGCTTGGGTTCACTGTCATCTCCAGCTCCTACTTCCAGCTTCCTACTAATGCACACCCAGGGAGGCAGCAGTAATGTCTCACATAGTTCAGCCCTTGCCACCCATGTGGGGAATCAGGATAAGTGTCCTGATCCTGATTTCAGCTCAGCTCAGTCTTGGACATTGCAGGCCATTAGGAAGTAAACCAGCAGATGGAAGCTCTGTCTGCAGATGTGTGTCTATCTGTCTCTCTGTCTCTGATTCTGTCTCTCTACTTCTCCAAAAAAAAAAAAAGTACACCGAGGAGGCAAGATGGCGGAATAGGAAGGGAGCACACTGATAGTCCGGGGAGAGATAGTTTAATAAAAGTGGAGATACTGCAGGTTCAAGGAAGAGTAGGGGAGGAAACAGCAGAAGAAACTCTTCTGGAACGCGTGATTCACAGCGGACCTGCGTGGAGAGCGTGGGAGCCCACAGTTCGGGACACCAGCGGCAGACTCAACACACCAGCGCTGGAACGCGAGGTGAGCCGAACCTCAATAGCCCGAGACACCGGCAGGCAAGCGGAGTGAGGAGACTAGAGGGAACGACCCCCCGGGGGGGGGGTGGAAGTTCACCAGGCTAACTGGAAGAGAGAGAGAGAGAGAAAAAAAAAAGGTGACTGGTATGGACACGGGTTTCTCTCTCTCCGCTCACCTCTCAAGGGTGAGCAAGACAAAGAGCAGGCGCCATCTTGGACATACGTCATAAGCAGAGCGACCTCAGGTCTGCACCGGCCCTGAGCCTAGCAGAAAAACCTGACTCTGGGCGGGGCGAATTAACAGGAGATTAGGACCTAGTAAATTTGTGGTGCTACTGAACTGAGACTGTGAAAAAAGAGACGGTGGGGGAGAGAACCCACGGAATTCACGTGAGCACTCTCCAGAGACGCTACAATTCCGTAACTTTGGCAACCCAGTGGGAGACTGAAGGAGAATTTGAGCCCACTCTGAGGGCAGAACAGATTCCCTGTGTGGTCCTTGGGAAAGAGCTTCTGATCTCTGGCTCCTGTGGGTATATCATTTGCCTGCTAACTACCTCCAACTTCGCTCATCTGTGCAGAATTACTTCCCTTTTGAATCAAAAAAAAAGAAAGAGAGACAGATTTACCACGCCTAACCTGGGAGTGTCACCTTTGGCACACCAAACAGAGCTCTCAGGCCACACCCATCTCAAGCCCTAAGGCTCCATCAAAAACAGATAGTCGACTTAATCTAGAGTCATAGTATAACAAGAAAAAGCACCACAGTGAAGAAACCAAATATCTCCAATATGCCAAATAACAAACGCAAAAACCGAGGTAATAAAAACAAGGAAGTCAACATGACGCCCTCAAATGAAAAAGACACCCCAAGTATATTTCACTTTGTGTTTCTATGGGGGTGCAAACGATTGAAATCTTTACTTAATGTACACTAAACTGATCTTCTGTAAAAAAAAAAAAAAAAGAAATTATCAATTCCCAACTTGACTCTCACTGGGATTAAACATGACAATAGGTCTGATCTGATTTCATCATCATTAAAAAAATCATCTATTATTTTTCACTTTATGTTTCTGTGTGGGAGCAAACTGTTGAAATACTTACTTAAGGTATACTAAGCTGATCTTCTGTATATTAAGATAATCAAAAATGAATCTTGATGTGAATGGAAGGGGAGAGGGAGTGGGAAAGGGGAGGGTTGTGGGTGGGAGGGACGGTATGGGGGGGGAAGCCATTGTAACACATGAGTCGTACTTTGGAAATTTATATTCATTAAATAAAAGATAAAAAAAAAGATTATGAAGATGATGACATAGAAGAAATGCAAGAAGCAGATCTCAAAAAATTGATAAGAACATTAAGAAGTTCTCAAAAACAAATTCTTGAACTACAGAAATCCTTAATGGACAAGATAGAAAATCTCTCTCGTGAAAATGAAATATTAAGGAGGAATCAAAATGAAACGAAACAACTAGTACAACAGGAAACTGGGATAGTGACTGAAGTGAAGAATTCAATAGATCAAATGAAAAACACAATAGAGAGCCTTACAAACAGAATGGGTGAAGCAGAAGAGAGAATATCGGACTTAGAAGACAGAGAACAGGAAAGGATACAGTCAGACCAAAGAAAAGAAGAGGAAATTAGAAATTTAAAAAATATTGTCGGGAATCTTCAGGATACTATTAAAAAACCCAACATTCGGGTTCTAGGAGTTCCTGAAGGCATGGAGAGGGAGAAAGGATTAGAAGGCCT